ACCATTCACACTTACATATAACTTTTGATTTTTATTCATTATTGATTTCTCTTTTGTTAACGATTATTATCACTTGTTTAAAATTTTGATGATAGCTATTACTTGCATGAATGATACTTTTGAATTTTATTCATTATTGATGTAAGTCCAGCAGTTTTTGAATTGACTACATTTTGGTAAAACAACATGTTGTTAGCAAGATGTTAAACCAAATGTTCTGCCATGACAGTCAGACATCATAATCTGCATGATGTTGTGGCATGTTCTAGGACATGTTATACCAGATAGCTAGGGCATGCCTATTTTGGTATTTTAGTGTGATTTTTGAGTGTGTTCTAATTCACACACGTGCATTTTTCATAGAAGTATATTGTGGGATTTTCTGTTATGACAAATTCTGTTACTTTTCATAAAAAGGATCCTTGAACCTTTTTAGGAAAGTTTATATTTTGCTCCTATTATTGTGCAGGATGATTTGCAACCAATTTATACTGATTACTGCTATTTGTGCGCCTCAAGAAGCCCAAGTCCAGTAGGTCTCAAGGTTATTTAAAGTGAAGACCAAACCCTATTAACATAGAGAGCATAACGTGAATAATATTGGGAATAAGGATTAGTCGTTGTTTTGGTTGGTCTTTAAAGTGTTATGATTGTTAATTGTATGTCACTCATATATCTTTGATGCCTTGAGGTTGACTGATTGTTTATTGTTTATTGTCCACCCTAAAACGTTTAAGAAAGAGTGTATTGTTCTTGATTGAAGCTTTAAGTAAGATCAAGTATTATCTTGGAAGTGTGCTACTTCTATTGTTTGTTATTTTTTAATTTCCATTGGGATTGTGACTAATTAGGAAGTGAGAGGGAGATCTCTTATCTAGAGGGTGTCTAGGTAGAAGTTTCATAATGTAGGGATTAGGAGAGAAGTTTTAAACGAGCAAGCTTAACTTTGAACTAATACTATCATAGTGAATTTCCTTCCTGGCTTGGTAGCCCCTAGATGTATGTGAGTTGCATCGAACTGGGTCAACAATTTTGGTGTTGATTTTATTTTTCTATCATTTAAAATTCCTGCATCTTTGTTTGTGTGATCAATTTGTCTTGATCCCAGTGTTGCGACATCTGTCTCGACATCTGGTATCTGTGTGCCAGAATTTCAATTGATTTCTCTTTTGTTAACTATTATTATCACATGTTTAAATTTTTTATGATAGGTACTACTTGCATGAATCAGTTAAAGGAAGTATGGACATAATGTATTTTATATCTCAATATTTGAATGTTCTTATAAGTTGTAATAATATATTATATAATAATATAGATTTTGAAATATGGTTTATCATGTTACTTTATTTAAGAATTTATGAATTTGTAAGCTCAAAATAGTCCCTTTGTGTAAATAATTAGTAATTTTTTTAATTTAAATAATTAATATTTTTTTTTATAAGAAATCAGTTAATTTTATCATTTTTAAATGTAAAATAAAATTCATATTAGGTTATAATTGAGTTTTAAATTTGAGTGGGCCAATTACTATTTTGTTAATAACAATTTTAAAAAGTAGAAATTTTTTTTATTGGATTTACTATTTGGGATGAAATTTGTATAGACTCAATTGCAAATGAAATCCGAAATAAATCGGTTAAGTTACCCGAACCCGTTTTAACCCGAACCTGAAAAAACCGATAGTTTAACTGGTCAAAATTGGGACATTCTATATCACCAGAGGGTTGGGCCGGATTGAGGTTTTAGCCCCGAACCGATGCCCAACCCTAACTGTCGCGGTGAAATTTGGATAACAAGTTATTAATGAGCTTGAATCTTAATTCATTACAACCGAACTTTGATTTGTCCAAAGGAAGGGATAAAGATCGAAATTCCCACAATGCAATGCAAATGCAAGTTTTAGAGAGTTTTAGGTTCGGGGGCCGGTTAAACTTAGGGAAGGTGCTAGCATCCTAAGTTTCTGTAGTACTCTACAGGAACCTCTTGTTTTATGTTTGTTTATTTGCTAAGTTTTATCTGCTTAATGGTTAAAAGACCTAGGGGTTTATTTCTAAGTATACTCGATAAGATGTCGCATCTTATGCCTACATATCCTTACGGGAGTGGAATCAGAGTATTTTGTAGTTCCCTTAAAGGGTTTGAGGATTTCTTTGACTGCGGTTAAAGTTCCTACGGGTTTAGGATAGTTGATTGATTGAGTTTAGGAGAAAAGATGAGTTGTCATTTTAAGGGATATTTAACCGCCACGAATTGTAGGAAAATAGTCTTTGCATCGTCTTAAGAGAAGGGCTCAAGTACTCGGATATTGATCGACGATGTACGCCTCTATCTCTCTTAAGGCAAAGTCTCTACGGTGTTGATTGCATTGATGTGGGGTGGAGATTCTATCTCGCTTAAAATGATTAACATCTATTTCTCTATTGTGTTTGAATATGTTGTATTGAGTTGTATGTTTCTATGTTGTAAAAGATAACGGTCCTTCCTATGGGGTAGGATCTATCTTAATTGATCAACTTGAATGGGATCAAGGATCGTAAGGGAGTATGATGCAAATGACGTGCACTACACACAAGTGTTGACTTATGTGTAGGTTTTTCCTTTGGACGGAATGCGATGCGGTAAAGTAAATTGCAATAATGTAAATTGCTTGTAAAATAAATTGCGGAAAGTAAAGCTATAAATATACGCATGAGAGCGCTGAAGTGTGTGAGAGTGAATGTGTCGTGAAGTGCACGGTTAGGTTGAGTTTTACGCTGTGAGTTGATTTTAGTTGATTGATTTTAAGTGAGAAGTTGATTTTAGATGGATTGATTTTAAGTGAGGGTAACTATAAATTAAATTCTAAGTGGAATAAACGTTATAATGATTTACTGATTATTTAGAGCTTAGGTGAAATAATATATTTTAAAAAGAATCTAGCGCAAAAGGAGTTAATTATAAAAAGTTGTTTTTATTATGCTCCTAAAAAGTTTTAAATTTTGATTATGCAAAAATGGTAATTATAATTATCTAATAACATGCTATTTTAAAAAGATTAATTAATTTAGCACAATGATTTTAAGTGAATAAAGGAAATTTGTTATATCATATTTTTATTAAGAAAAAAAACCTAATTATCTTAAGATTGATTTAAAAAAAGTGCAATAGATCATTATTTATTAAATAAAGTAAAATAAAACCTAAAAAAAACTATATGATAAAATTAAATAGATGCTAAATTATTAAAGGTGAGTAGTTATTATTTTAAGGGATTAGCTAATTATAATAAAAGTTGTTAGTTATAAATAAAAAGTTGATTAATAAGTTATTAGTTTATCAAAAGATTAATTAGGTTGATAAAAGACTGGTTTATAATAAAAAATTAGTTTATTTTTAAAACTTGGTTAACTGATTAATTAAAGGGTTGATTATTTGTTAAAAAAACTAATAATTGAACTGATTAACCTAAAAAAGCGATTAGGGTGTGGTTAACGATTAAGTGTGGTGTGTAATGTTGTGTGTGTGAAGCATAAGCAAAAAAAGAAAGGAACAGTAACAACAGAAAAATGAAAAGAGAAAAAAAAACGAGACAAAGGGGAACCGTGAACCCCCATCTTCTGTCTCCCTCTCTCAAATCGCTCGATCTCTCTCACTCGCAATCTCTCTCGCTCGCCTCTCCCTCGGATTCGTTCTCCGTGGTTCGCTTCGGCCTCCATTTTCTACACAACCTGAAACATGACGAAAAGGATCAAAATGTTCTGCAAATTTTTTACGAGAAAAATATTTTTACCGAAGGTTTGATAGCAGCGGTGCTGGGATGGAGTTCCGTCGATTGGTGTTTGCGGTGACCGGAGGTGACTTTTGCGAGCTGGGCGAGTTCTATTGTCTGCATTATTGGAAACATCTTCATATTATTACGCTTAGCATGCGATTGAACTTCTGCTTTATTTCTGAAAGCCTAGATTTAATTGAGGTAGATTTCTCTGCATTGGGACAGATTTGGGACTGGACATCCGTGGGAGCAAGAGATTCACCATTTACAGAAAATAGAAGATAAAACAACATTATCTCTTCAAGCTTAACAGACTGGGTGCAATGCTCAATCTTTATGCGTTTTAGAGACGGGTGCAAGCCTCCTGAAGTCCCACAACCAGCGTAGGATTTGAGATCAGTCTGGATGGCATAGCTGTGATGCTGTAGGATTTGCATGATCCATTTATCACGCTTGGCAGACTTTGTTTAGATTCTGGCTGAATTCAAGCCTTAAATCGAAATGTGCGCTGGTAATTTTGCGTTCATCTATTGTTGTAGGTTTTGTTTTGGGTGTATACTTATCATTGGTAACTGCTGAAGTATCTCCTGAATTCGTCTTGCAGGTTTGATGGCTTCAGTTGGCACGTCTAAGTTGCGCCTCAAACCATCTCGAGGATCAAGGACAGTAGAAACTGGAGGAGAGGTTGTTGCTGAAGTACAAAGGAGATGAACAATATTAATGTGCATGAGGTTGCAAATGAGTACGTTCGGTTAAGCGTCGTGGCTGACATGCTGACTACTGGCACTGTTATCTTTTATGACAGGTATTGGTTGGTATCTTCATGGATCAAAGTATTGGTGATTTCACGCCAAACGGCACCGGTGGCATGCTCGTGTATGGATTTGGATGTCTTCTTCACTTTTTATGATACTATCACTACCAGAATGATTTACATAACCAGTAGCATGTTCATTGTCAACAGCAACATCACTTTCAGCAATGTTAGTCTTACTCCTTTCTTTTACAGCTTCGTAACCAGTTGAGTTTAGCTTCTTATCAAACAAAGATTGTTCCAAAGAAATTCCATTTGCATCAGCATTTCTGTACCAGTACACATATTGGTATCACTATTTATCTCTAGCTAAACTAGTTTGAGCATTACAGGATTCTTGATCAAAACTCTTCAGGCCTAATGCAACACTGCAATTTGGTCTTCAGTGGATGCACCTTTCCTGTCCACTTCTACATTGTCAAAACCATTTGTCTAACCAGGGTAAGAATCATCTCCCGGTTGTCCAACAGCTATGCGGGGTGAAAGCTCAAGTTCACCTAAAGCTCCTGGGTTCATTTCTCTATCTGCACTAGCTTCGCCAGAAGATAAGACAAGTGGATTTTGTACAGTATCATCCTGAGAAGGTACAATATGTTGATCTTCTTTGAAGTCTCTATTCAATGTAATATCTAATTTATCTGCAGCAACACTAGCACTAATATTATTTTTAATGAGTTCGAGGATCCACAAATTCATTATCCAATAGATCATTTGTTGTTGGATCTTTAACAAGTTTCTCGTCATTTGAACTAGGAGGCTTTTGCTTGGAAACAGAAGGTGCATTGTGATCCTTTTGTTTGCTTGTATCTGATAGCATACCCTTTTTGTTTCATGTTTTGAGGATGCCAGCCTTGGTTGCTGTTGATGTATGAACTGTTGGTTGATGTATCTGCTGCTACGTTGATGCATATCTGTTGTGTTGACCACTATTGCTGATGTTGCAGGCCAGATTTGGATGGTGCGTGGGTCCACAGTTGTAGAATTGAATTTTGAACCCACTTGATTTCCCAGTGTATCTAAATTTTGTCCATCACTCCGACCCCTCAAAGCTGTTATGTTTCCAATAGAATGCACATTTGAACGAAGATTAGCAAAAGAAGCAGTTTTTTCGATAGATTGACTCGCTCATTCAAACTAAATGTATTCAGCTCTGTTGCAGGTTCAATTTGTTTGGGCAAATTAGCATTGTTGGGTGTATACAGAAACGGTACGAAGACGGGCTGAAGTGAACGAAGCCTAAGCCATGAATAACCCGTGAAGCAAGTACCACAGACCCCGATGTGTGTCTCAATCAATCATCGGCTGCCGGTGTCGTAGGACACATGAAATAGTACTGGGGCAGAGCACTTTGTAACTTTTGCATCTTATGAATCTTAGACACTTTATCTTGAACTTGATAGATGTATGAAAAATTATCCTTTTGTAGAAACACTATTGAACGATGATGTATTTGTATTTCGAAATTAGCTTATTCCAAATAACCTTCTTATTGTAAATTTAAAGTTCATGACCTTAGAATCTCTTGAGTTTGGATCTTGATTCAAAATATACGTAAATCCCCTTAATTCCATAACTTAAGTACACCATGTTTCTCATGCCTTGAACCTTGAAATTTCATGGTTGATCCTTTAAATTGGGCTTTTAACAACCTTCCACATTAATCCTGAGTCTTGTAAGGCAATTAGACTTTTGTATCCATATTTGCGAAGTTTGACGCTTGGCATCAACATGAACTTTTGAAAAGAACATGGATCTTAAATACCTAACTTGGTGAATTTTCAAGATGAAACCTCTTGTCATGAATATTTGTGAATATTTCAAATTGATCCATGACTTGATTTTTGGATTCTCTTTTCTTCATGAACACAATGGATAAATCTCGAATTCTATTTCATAGATTTCTAGTATGGAACTCAATGGTTGTTTTTGAACAAAGGTAGACAACCCTTGACAACAAGATGGCATAGACCCCAATCCTTGAATAATAGGCCCCTATACGTATCACTTTGTGATTCCCTGAACTTCCAGCAGTAGCCTATCTTTCACACAATAAACAAACAAGTTGGTTAGAACGGTTAGCTATGTATAATGATTGACTATGAGAATGAACGTTATCTCCGCTCGATATTACTGCGTCTGCACAAAAATTGGTTAGTCACATAAATATTAAATATTAAAATATAGTCAAATAACAACATGAGAATGCAAGAAGAGGTGGGATCTTGTGGTCAAAAATTGGGGTGCGACACTAACCCACACAACAAAAACTAATATTTATAAGTTACATGCATGGATAAAGCGAGTGAGTTACGTACCGAATATGTGATGAAGAAGATATACAAAGTCGAAGAAAGCTCCATTTATGTTTGTTTGTCTTTCTTTCCTTTCAAACTATGCTTAAGCTTCAATGGAGTTAAGGCGTTGAAGGGAGGAAACAAACACGCGTTATAAGAATTGATGTTTGAACACTTCTGTATGTTGGAAGGGATGATGTTTAGCTAACACAAGTACTAAATTTTACGACAACACTTTCACCTCGTCTAACAAAATAACAAAGAGCTAACTCTTGGACGCGCTACATTAATTTTTTTCAAAAAAATAACATATATTCCCTCAGTTATATACTATAACCGACTATGTATAATCGAGGGGTAAAATAATTCAGGACCATACTTCGAATATTATAGATTGCGGTTTTTGCTTTTATTTTTTAAAAGTTGTGTCTTTCTTTTTATTTTAATTTTTATTAAATTATTAAATAATATATTCCATTGGTTTCCCTAATAAGAGAGGGATATGATACCTAAATTTAGCTATAAAAGGATTCGTACAATTGCCCTAAACCTAACTTATATATACAACTTCTTTATACTCGTAAACATTATTGTTTTGGATTGATTGCAAGACAGAAAAATTTTGTTTTGTGTTGTTCTTCTAACACCAACATTTAACAAATTATTTTTTGTTCCTGCAATGTATCTCACATAATGGTGTTGTTGTTGTTTTATTTTGTTGTTGTTGGTTTTGTTGTTGTTGTTGTTGTTGTTGTTTTTGTTGTTGTTGATGATGTTGATGTTGTTGTTGTTGTTGTTTTCTTCGCCGTTGTCGTTGTTGTTGTTATTGTTGTTTTTTTTGGTGTTGATGTTGTTGTTGTTGTTGTTATTTTTGTTGTTGTTATTTGTTGGGAATTGCTATCGTCAAGAAAAAACCAAAATATGAGAAAAAGATTGAGTTTCTTGAACAAACACAAGAAACCCTATTAGGTTTTACAAAAGATAGAGAAGAAGGAAGAACAAGAATAAGAATTGATTAAACTGTTTTTCTATTCACTTACTTAATAAGGGTTCAAAGATTTCAAGTGTATATCAACAATTAACCTCTCTCAACAACCTGAGAGAACTAGTCTACTTATATACTACTAAATTAAATTAGGCTACAAGCTAAATTAACAATTGGGCTTAGAAGCAAGGCCCAATTGGACATACTAACTTAAATTACAAGTTAATAAATTTTGACATTACGCTCGAATAGACTTCGACTACAGTATACACATCTCCTATCAAACCATGAAGCTACCTTTGTCGACACTGGAGTTCGATCCAAATACCAGAAATATCCACCTTGGAACAAACTCTATAACAAGGGAACAAACTATCTTTCATCATGCAACTTTATCAACTGCATATAGTGGAAAAACTTGCTACTTGGCAATGTCTTGCTAATCATATCAGCAACATTTTCATCAGTCGAAACCTTCAGCACTTGGAATTCTACACGCTCGATTATCTCTCTGACAAAGTGCAGCCTCACATCGATGTGCTTGGTTTTCTCATGATAGGCGTAATTATTAGACAGGTGTATTGTGCTTTGACTATCACATTTAACAGCGATAACTCGACCTTGAAGTTTCAAATCATTAGTAAAACCTTCAATCTACAATGCCTCTTTCACAGCTTTAGTGAGGGAAATATACTCTGCTTCAGTGGTTGATAAGGCAACAACCTTCTGAAGTGTTGCTTTCCAACTAATTGTTGTGCCAAACATAGTGAAAACGTATCCGAAAATAGATTTTCTGGAATCCATACAACCTACATAATCAGAGTCGACAAATCCTTCGATTTTGACTTTGCTATCATCACCACAGGCTCCACCATAAATTAGGACTCGGCTCAAAGACCCACTTATGTACCTAAGAATCCACTTTAATGCTTTCCAGTGCACCTTTCTAGGACTGGCCATATACTTGCTTATAAGGCTCACTTCGTATGCTATGTCTAGCCTCGTACAAACAATAACATACATCAAAGAACCTACTATACTAGCATATGTAATGCCATTCATATAGGCTCTTTTGACTTCAGTACTAAGATTTTGGTTCATACTCAGCTTGTACTATGGATTAGTCAGTGTTAGAACGGGCTTTGAATTCGACATACCAGACTTGTCGAGAATCTTCTTTGGGCATGTCTCTTGAGATAAGTATAATCTCGAATGCTTTCTATCTCTCCAGATGTCAATCCCAAGAGTTCTAGAGGCAGCTCCCAGATCCTTCATGTCGAACTCCTTAGCGAGTTCAGCCTTCACCTTCATAACATCTTCGACATTGTTGCTTGATATGAGGATGTCATCCACATAAAGCAACAAAATAACAAGTGAATTTCTAGGTCAAAATCTGGTGTAAACATACTGGTCGAACTGGCTCCTAGTGAAACCAATGTATTCCATGGACTTGTCGAATCTCATATTCCATTGTCGAGGAGATTGTTTCAGACCATAAAAGGACCTATTCATCTTATGCACATAGTCTTCCTTTCCCTTTTCTGCACACCCTTCAGGTTGCCTCCTCAGGATTGTTTCATCTAGATCATCATACATGAAGGTTATATTCACATCTATTTGTTCAAGTTCTAGGTTGAACTGTGCCATCATGGCTAACAACATTCTGATGGATCTATGCTTTACAATAGGTGAGAACACATCATTGAAATCAACACTTGCTTTCTCAGTGAATCCCCTAGAAACCAACCTTGCCTTAAAACTCTTTGACATCACTCCTTCGATTCCTTCCTTAACCTTGAAGATCCACTTACAACTAACTAACCTGGCCCTTGTAGGTTTCTCGATCAGCTTCCAAGTGTTATTATCATGGAGAGATTTAATTCATCATCCATGGATTTTATCTATTCAGTCTTATCTCAACTCCCATAACTTTTTTATAGTCTCTAGGTTCTTCGTCAAGAACCTTACTTGCAAAAATTAAGGCATAAGCTATGAGATTTGCATAACCATGTCTCTGAGGTGGCTTGATGACTCTTCTCAACCTGTCTCTTTCCAGTAGATAGTCATTATTTGTGTCCTCATCTTCTACAACAGCTTATTCTTCTTCTTCAAATTCATCTGGGTCATGCAATTCAACATCATTATGTTCCACCTCAATAAAAACCTCTTCTTGTTCCTACTCTTCTTTAGAGATTTTTAAACTTCTAGCATTGTCATCTGTTTTCTTGAAAGCCATCTCAGCTTTATTGAAAAACTACATCTCAACCTATGATACACCTCATGTGACTTGGATCTAGGCACCACAACCTATAAGCTTTGACTCCTTTAGGGTATTCAAGGAATATACATCTCAGAGCTCTAGGTTCGACCTTGTCTTGCCTAATATGAGCATAGACTAAACAACCAAATACTCTAAGTATGTCGAGATTAGGTGGATGTCCCGACTAGAGTTCTTCAGGTGTCTTCATTCTCAAGGCTGTCGAGTGACACCTATTTATCAAGTA